AAAAACATTAAAGGTGTTGCGCTTATATGGTTCCGGATAGATGGACAGACATACAATGTGATCCCTTTTCCCTAACCACTTCCACTGTTTCCTGACGCTTCATTTTGTTTACGGGGCGTATAAAAACAAAATTTTACATGGAAAAGTTTGCTCAATATATATCAAAGCAATGCAAGGTCAACACATTCAGAATGATACATAAAAGATGCATACTTGTCCGAGACTCCCAATCTCATCTTTGATTTTTGTGAAAGAAAGCTTGTTTTCTGTGTTTGATGTTGCCTTATTTAATATCTTTGTCTGATGACCAATTTTAAATTGAGTTCATTGTGTCTTTTGAGTTGGTAAGATGTATTCCATCGCTGTGAAGATTATTTTTCAACAATAAATATTTACAGAGAAGTAGAATCAAACTCAAAATTAATTCCATTTGATTAATTGATAATCTCCACAAATATTAGGTTTTACACCAATCAGAAACACAATACTGAACTAACATCTTGGTCACTTATTATTGTATGGTGACCGTTATCTTTGACATACACGGTAATATATGTGAGTTAAGCACCTAAGTTAATTTGCTTCAGGGTACATGGTACAGCTGGAGATCACCAGCAAACAAAACATGAATAAAATCAACATAAATTGAAGAGTAATGTTTTTGCCAAAATGTTGACCAAAAAAATTAGGTTGACGGGAAAAAAAGTGACTATCAAGAAAATAGAAAATATTTTTCTTTTTCTTTTGTTATGTAACTAATTGTAGTAAATTGTCTAAAAGGTCCTCTGAAGAATTTTGTGTCCTATAAATGCATATCATTGTGGATATGTTTCATAACAAAAACAATGTGAAATTTAAATTTTATCTACGACTTACTTGTTTCGGATCAGCATTTTGCTTCAGTAATATCTTCACAATAACAAAGTTCATTTTGCGAACAGCACCGGCTAATGCTCTTTTCTGTGAAAAAAAAATTCAGTTTTTTCTACATTATTTTTGCAGGGTCAGAAAATACTTAGTGATTAACTAGATCAACTACAGTTGCATTAAGTTTTAATTTCTATTTGTCTATTATCTGTTATTTTTTATTTATCTTTTGAGGCTTGTCACACAATCAACATAATTATTTCTATATATATATATATATATATATCATTTTGAAGTATATAAGAATCACGATATGCATCGTCATAGTGAAATAAGTGCATGATTGTGGATGATTGTGACGTCACGCAATGGATACGGACGTGTTTCCGATCGCTCGCTAGCTACTGGAGCGAAATTTAAGAAAATATACCGATCAGCCGGTATATTTATGGACTATTTTATAGAGTCTTGATCGGTATGGACTCTGCTTACGTAATCATGTGATTGTGTCTACTTAAATAGAAACACCTCAAAGTTTCATTTTTTGTAATTGTTATGGAGTTTATAAATATATAAATATTTAAGAATGTATTTTTTCATAACCAAACTGCTATTACTGTATATCTCAAACAAGACCAATAATTTCATGACAATGCAAATCAACTGCTAACATAATTGAATTCTAAGTTTATAATAATAATAATGTTTAAATATTAAAAAGATGCAAATATTTAGTTTTACTCTAATTAATTTTGATTATATTGACATATTAGAGCCTATTTGATGTTAAGATCTAGCAAACAATTTTCAACGAATCGGGTAACAAGGTGGCATTACTTGCCCGGATTCTTCCGTTATATTTATAGTAACATGGGAAATAACCTTACCTATTTATAAATCTACCCATGTATTCACCAAGCTGTTGTTTATAACTGAAATAATGTAATACCACTCTGTTAAAAATATTTATAAAGGAGAAAAACGCTTCCCTCGAACTGTTCTTGGTCATTCGGGATTTGTAACTGAGTCGAGTAAAGTTACATTTTTTTATATCGTTATTGGTCAATATTTTATGCCATGATTCGAAACTAAAAACGAAAATAAGAAATGTTCAATCACATCAGAGTACAAACCATCAAGATTTTCAGCAGATTGATAGCTTGTGTTGTGTGTGTCGATCCGCTAGAACTCGTTCGAGGCAGAGTTAACTTGATGCGTGCTAACCTTACTGCTATTTGTTGCGTATTTGCCAAGCACTACATCTACATCTACATCGACACAGAATAGGTGTTATTGTATGTCAAGTCGAAATATAAGTAAATTCGATTTAAGAGGGAGCATCAGGCTATTTGGAATTTTACATATGTAGCAGAGACTGGTAAAAACATCATTTTGGAAATAACAAATTACTGTATATTCAAACAAGACCAATAATAACAATGCAAATCAACTGCTAACATAATTGAATTCTAAGTTTATAATAATAATAATGTTTAAATATTAAAAAGATGCAAATATAGTTTTACTCTAATTAATTTTGATTATATTGACATATTAGAGCCAATAGCAAACAATTTTCAACGAATGTAACAAGGTAAGAAATAACCTTACCTATTTATTAATCTACCCATGTATTCACCAAGCATACTAACAACAATTAAGCATATGTACATAAATGAAAAAGTTGAAAATGTACTTACATTTTTTGGGGGGGATAATTTATAGAAAATTTTGCATGGCGCAGCTATAGAAATTCAAAGTTACTAAACAAATCAAATGTATATATATTTTGTTGCTGAATATCTCCTCTACAACTATTTGTTGAGAAATTCCTTCAGAAGACACATTAAGTCACAGCAGTTCCAATAAGTAGGTTCCAAATGGCTGTCCCATGTGTCATGAATGAAGTCCCAGTGTTGAATTGAGCTATGTAGACACAAAGGTAACAGAGCGAGTAAAAGGGAGATAATTTCATACACCTAAAAACCAACAATGTAGCAATAAACACATTTAAAAAAGCAATATCGATCGATATGTTCTTTCCACAGTATTCAATTTAGAAATATTGTTCCCAAAACATAAAATTTATTGATATTTTAGGAAGATATATTAAGAAAAAGTAAAGAGTTTATAACTAACATTAAGTGTTGGTATTGCATGAACCACAACCGTATTTAGCAGTCAATAAGCCCGTGACTGGTAATAAGCCCACCCATGTCTTTTTCAGACATTTAAAATTGTTCCTATATAAACTTCACCCCTGTAACAAGCCCCTCCCTCCCTCAACAATAAACACTGGTCCCCTAGGCTTATTACAGGATAAAAACAGGGGTCTATACAACACATTAACATTAATATCCATTTATTAATTGAGTGTGTCACACCCAAATTATCACTACCATGTATCATATATTTTCCTAAAACTACTGTAGGTGATGTCATGTGTGATCACACAACTAAATGGTCTTGAAAATGAATCTACAATCACTACCCTTAAAGAGACAACGATTTAAAGGTTTTGGTAATCATTTCAGCTTTACCATTTTACAAGTCTGCCTATAGAATGTGAAAAGGTTTCAGTGCATGGTGTATCTTTGGCTATTGGACAAAGACATGGCTGAAATCCATATATTGTTATCATACTTAATTTGGTACACTCACATAGTAGAGAAAGACATATGAATATGGTGTTGTTTTTTTAAATGTACATACCAATATATATGTCAATAAACGTCAGTGCACCAGTGTTAAGATCTTGCTGAAGGTGGTCTATGAGATACCTCTCTTCCTCGCCTTTATACAACACTTCATACACTGCCCCATCTTGGCTGTCTCTTCCCTTCACACACTCAAGCACATTACCTTCACACCACTTGGTCTCTTTGGTGATCTCATCAATACACCACTCCTGTAAAATACGTTTCCCAACAAATTTGCATCTACGTCAATTAGTATCAGTGCCAGCTCCAGCAGCCCCCGTCCCACTTAATGTAAATATGGACTCCAAACTTTCACCCCAGTCTTTTCCGCACAGTGTTAGCTCCACCATCATCCCGGCAGCTGCAGCGGGATCCTCCAATCAACAGGCATCTCAGCCTGTGTTGTCGTCAGTATTCCTTACAGCTGGGTTAGGATCTGCCGACCAATCCCATCAGGGTCCACCCGGGGTACCATCCTATACCATCCCGGCAGCAGCAACAGGATTGGCAGATCAGCCACCAACACAACAAGTGCTGCAATCATTTGCCTTTACAGCCACAGGAACAGGGCATACCAGCCCACTCGTCGACAGGCCTGTGTCTTATACCAATCTTTTTCGGGATGTAGCTGGTGAGACCCCAAATGTTACTTGTATAAGCATTCCTCGTCCTCATGATATGTTTGTAGATGTCAAACTCAAGTCTAAAATTTTCAATAATGAATATGTGGAATTAGGCTTATTGCTTAAACGGACACCCCATGAAAATGACACTTTGAAAGTTGAAGTACAAGGGCAGCAATTAGTGCTGAGTAAAAATAATAAAGGTTTTTCCTTTAAATCTATTGAACAGTGGATATCTGATTTTCATATCTTTGTGTCCATCTATGTCCAGGCTTATCTTCAGGCAGCTGCCAGCCTAATGAAGTATGCAGATATCGTACAAACACTCAACAAGAGGTCGGGCATTGCTGCTGCTATGCATTATGATGCTAATTTTAGAATGTGGCATCAATTATATCCCAGTTCTCCTTGGCACCTACCCCATTCTGAGTTGTACATGGAGGCAACTGCTATTGGCCTTCGTGCTCTCTGCCCTCCACAGCCCTTTCAGGGTCAGAAGCCCAGCATGCGCACCAAGAAAGTATGCTGGGCTTATGACAGGCATGGTAAGTGTGCCAAGGGCAGCAGGTGTAAATTCTGGCATGGGTGTGGGGTCTGCAGTGGCATACATCAACAGAAAAACTGTCCTAACACCTCCAAACCTGACAGCCAGCCTGCTGCTGGCTCCGGTAACTCCCCAGCTCAACCAGGTAAACAGCAACGTCAACCTCCCCGAAAGTAGTTCCTTACCTACTCCAATCAGGGTTCCTAAATTTCTGGAGTACCAACAGGGTTATCCCCCTCAAAATTCGCCTTTTTAGAACAGGGTTTTATGTTCGGCTTTCATTTACAGTATGAAGGGCCTAGAATTTTTCGTGAGGCTAATAATCTGAAGTCGGCAGTAGAACAGATTGACATTTTAAAAAATAAAATCCAAAAAGAACTTGACAACAGTCGCTGTAGCGGTCCTTTTACTGAGCCACCATTCCCTAATTTACAAGTTTCTCCTTTAGGGTTGGTTCCCAAAAAAGAGCCAAATGAGTACAGAGTTATACATCATTTATCCTTTCCGGAGGGTTCTTCAATTAATGATGGTATTTCTCCGGAATATTCTACTGTCAGTTATCAAACAATTGATCATGCTATTCAGCTTATGAAAACATATGGGAGAGGGTCGCTATTAGCTAAGACAGACATAGAATCAGCTTTTCGGCTAATCCCCATTCATCCAGAGGATTATGAACTGTTAGGTTTTAAGATAGAGGGTCACTATTATTTTGATCGGGTTCTGCCCATGGGCTGTTCCATTTCTTGCAGGTTGTTTGAGGCCTTCAGCTCTGCCATTCATTTGATTTTAGAACACAAGTTTAACGTAGCAGGGGTAGTTCATGTTTTGGATGATTTTCTTTTTGTAGGCCCTCCTAATACTGAAAAATGTCTCACGGATCTAACAACTTTTTTACAATTTTGTTCTGATACTGCCATTCCAATCAAACAAAGCAAAACAGAGTTCCCCACAACCTGCCTCACTTTTCTAGGTATTGAGTTGGATAGCGTTGCTATGGTTGCTCGACTCCCCATGGATAAATTAGAGAAAATGCGGGATTGTGTGAAGTTGTTTTCTAGATGCCGCAAAGTCACTCTTAAGGAACTCCAGTCACTGATAGGCTTGCTTAACTTTGCTTGTAGGGTTGTTTTGCCAGGTCGCCCTTTTTTGCGTCGATTGATTGATCTAACTTGTGGCTTAACAAAACCACATCATCACAGGAGGCTGAACAAAGAGGCTCGGGCTGATTTAGCCGCTTGGGGACTATTTTTGGACTATTTTAACGGCACATTCATGTTTTTATCTGATAAGTGGGAAACATCAGCACATTTACAGTTTTACACTGTTGCGAGTAATGTGGGTTTTGCTTGGATGTATGGGAAATGGCCATCTGAATGGGAATCTTTCCACATAACTGTTAAAGAATTTTTTGCTGTAGTTCTCGCGTTGGAAATTTGGGGCCCCTCCCTCTTGAACCGCTGTATCATCTTTCATTGTGATAATCATGCTGTGGTGGACATTATCAACAAACAAACCAGTAAAGACAAAATCCTCATGAGACTAGTTCGGCGTTTTGTGGTGACAGCATTAAAACTGAATATTTTATTTACTTCGCAACATATACCTGGTAAGTGCAATACCTTAAGTGACCATCTGTCTCGTTTACAGGTGGACTCCTTTCGTCAACTGGCCCCACATATGGAGGCACACCCAACTTCCATTCCACCCCAGTTCATGTACGTTTGACTAGTACCATCCATTCGTTGCTGGTGAAAGCTACATCAATGCAAACTTCTCGTGTTTATGAGAGAGCATATTCTCTCCTTTGCCATTTTGTTACCTCAGTTTTTTTCGGGTACTCCTCATATCCTGTACTTGCATTTTTCATTGCACATTTGTTTGACCACCACTTAGCATTCGCCACTATTTCCACAGATGTTGCAGCTATAGGTTACATAAATAAGATTTGTGGTTATCGTGATCCCACACAATCCTTCCTGATAAAGAAATTATTAAATTCCATTCAGCGTGGTACTTATCACGTAGACAGCCGTCTGCCGATTACGCCGGAGATCCTTGCGAAACTTGTGACATCTTTAAAATTTACCACCTCATCACCTTATCAATACCATCTGCTGAAAGCCATGTATCTGTTAGCTTTTCATGCATTTTTGCGTGTAGGTGAAATGACACACAGCCGATCTGCTGGCAATTGTTTACAGTTTAAAGATATTAGGATTATCACCAATTCGTCAGGGTCCCTGTGTACTTTGGAATTAACGTTCCATTCATTCAAAGCACACTATAACATCAGACCAATAACTTTGGCCATTTCTACCGCTGGAAAACCTAGTGATTGTTGTCCTGTTTTTGCCATGCAGCAGTATTTGCTGTTACGGGGTGTGCATCCTGGACCATTGTTTTGTTTCCCTAATCTGCAGGCTGTTTCATATGCTTATTTTAGTGCTTGCCTTAAACATTCGGTATGTTGGGCTGGACTCTCGCATTTTCGTTTGACGACTCATAGCTTTCGTATAGGTGCTGCCAGTTCTGCGGCAGCTCGTGGTATCCCAGATGATGAAATTCAGCAGATGGGAAGGTGGCAGTCTATGGCATTTAAACGATATATAAGGTTACCTTCGATTTTTGATATGTAATAGAAATACTGTTTTTGATATGTTATAGAAATACTGTCAGTGTAACCCTGTTGCAACATCTGTGTGACCTTTAGTCATGGGGTCTACCGGTCAATAATTGGCATTATACATTACATTGTACAAATATGTTGTTGTTTTAAAGCTGTTTTTGTCGTCGTGTTTATTGGGCCTATGGGCATTGGGTTGATAGGTCTAAAAAAATTTTCTTCCTTTTGATTATCACATGAATTATGTATATCAATTGTGGGGTCTCATCAGCTATTATGACGTCAAGGAGGAAACCATCTGGACAATTCCTCATAGACTTGGATGCATACTCCTGACAATATTGTGCTGTGTTGCTTTACAAACTGTTACTTTTGCGCTATATGCCATAACGTTCTATGTATACATATTGTTTGAGGATACTACTTCCGGGCATTGGGTCGGGAAGTCGTGTATATTTTCTTGAATTTTATCTTATTTCAACCATGTATGGTAGTTATGCTTACAAACCAGTTATCAGATATCGTTTATATAATATCACAACAGTGATTTGATACTGGCTTTGTGTTATTTGCATTGGTAAAAAATATATTTTCATACATTTAATTCATTACTTAGTTATGATACTGCCGTGTACATTTACACGCCATTCCATTTACCAGTGGGGTTTTGGCCTTGAAGTTCTGTGTATGCCTATATTGCGTGACACTCCTGCCTTCGGGCATTAAGTCAAGAGGTCTTATAAAAGTTTCTAGTCTTCATTGTATTCCTTGTTATACCAATATAGGATATCAGTTTTACCTGCTATGCTTGTATTTCGCTTTGCATGTTCCTTTTCATGCAGTTATAATCTTTAATTTGGCACTCTACATGGCTGCGGATGGGGGAGAGATAAACAAATCCTTGGGTTATATTACCCATGGATAGTTTATCTCTGTGGCATTTTTTATACCCCCATCTTAGACTTAAATCTTTAGTTTTATACATGTACAACTTGAATTGAGTGATTATCTAAAAAGTTTTAGATATGTACTATTTTTGTTAGTTGTATATGTACATACGTCGTTTAATAAAACGGCCATATTTCAATTCAGATTTTGTGTTTGTTGTTTACTTTGATGTATAAGTCTAACAAGCTTGCCATGGTTATGATAGGAATCATTTATAAATATAGATTAAGAAATTTCCATCTCATGGTATTTCCGCTTACAATATTTTTTTTACCTTGCTTATATATATATATATATATATATCAGAGGCATGTTAACGAAGCGTGTTATGCTATTTATGAACCTTGATATATATAGAATGTGAAATAAATATGAACACGTCATGGATTATCTCATATATGGAATACGATAGATATGTTAACTCTGCAGTTATATTGATAATGAACATCATTTAAATATGTAACATAGTTTCGCGTTCAACGTATTGAAATCTTAGTGTAAAACAGTTGTGAAAATCCCTGATTTGCTATTGTCATTTTTTTATTATTAGTTTATTTCACGTTTATATCAAAAGCAGGTATTGTTCCACCGGTTAACCAACTTACCTTCTTACGTATAAACCTATAGTTTCATAATAAACTAGGGCGCGAGTATTTTCTCTGGGGAACTTTTCATTATATGGATGTATTTTAGAATAATGTCTTTTCTTGGAATGTCCGGATTAAATTCATGGACTGTTTCGACAAAGGATGGAAGTAAACTTGGAAGTACTTCGTAAGTATAACTTTTCACATATTCAAGACCTGCTCGAATAAACATAGCAGTGTTCAATCCTTTTTCTTCACTTTGAATGAGGGGATTGAAAATACAGGTAGCCAACAAATGTTATCGCTAGCTTCATCAATATTTACAAATGTTATAAAATACTGAAGAATACAATTCAATTACGTCCTTTTGAAACTGCAATATAAACAGGACAATCCTAGCTTCATATTCTCAATGCAATGAAGGAAAAAAAATTTCCATTGTCATTCCATAATATGTTATTAGTCTCAACATTCTGAAAACGAACTCAGTTCTGAAAGATTCAAAAGATTTTCAAATTAATGTTTTGAAACTATAAACTACCTTTACATTTTAAGCCTATAATTGTTTTTATACGACACAAGGTCTTTACCATTGTTCCGAAAAACCTTCCAACATATATTTTTAATTTAAATGTTGTATTTCGCGGATGTTGATGACACCACTTGAGATATTATAGAATATACAGTAAAACTCTACCGTCAAACCATCCTGTCCAGGACTCATGTTATGAGCTATATGATCTAATGCATTTTGATATATTTTCTAAACTTTTTATATATAAATTTTGACAATTTTTATCAATACATTATAAAACTTCATCAATTTCATCCTCATCAACTTTAACACAGAAGTACACTTTCTTATGAAAAAAATATTATATAGATTCTCCTACTATAAGATCACTATCACATAAAATCTGTCCGTTATCATTATCAAATTCTTGTATAATTATCAAGCTTTGTCTATGTTTTTGAGTCTGAAAAATATGAAGTATTACGATCACTTTCAAGTGCCCATCTGACCTTAGTTCGCAAAACTGCACCACTATATATTTCATCTTCAAATCATCAGAAATCATCAGAATTCACCATTTTCGCAGAAACAGAAATATCAGTCAGCTATTTTTTGGCAGTTTGAAATAACTGGAATTCCTTTCTAGATGACATGCTTTCCCCAACACATGGATTTCGCACGAAATTTTTTTCACTGATGTTTTTTTTTATATTCTAGTGGCCGCAGATCTTAGTAACACATAAGATGTAATGCTAAGATTGAGATAAGATTGATGGAACGTGGGGTTAAATAGCGCGTTTTTAACATCAGCATAAGGAGAAATTCAAAAGGCACCGGGTTTTCAATATATCGTCATCAGTTCTGTTTATTTTCATGTTATTGTCGTATGTTATAAAGCACACAAAAGCATTGTAACAACAAAACTGGATTAAGTCAGTAGAATACCCAACAATACGTAGTTCCGTGTCAATTTTGACCTCATTAATCAACGTTCTAAGATAAGGAGGGTCAGGTGAGCAAGTCGCATGATATCTGGATGGTACTGCATGCATCTCACACACATATTTCTGGTTTGTTTACCATGCAAATGTATAAACCTTAAACAAATTCAGCTTACGTCCACAGCCCGTTTACCTGTGTTTATTTGTCTCGTAGATTATATAATCTGATATCATAACATTAAGTCAGCAGATCAGAAGTTTACACACGTCATGCGAGCCTTAAGACCAGAATTACTTGTAAACAAGCTGATATTAGATTTCAGGGCATAATGATTTATAATAGAGTAAACCTCACCACAGACGATCTCATGCATCATATCACAGACGATGTCTATGTCATGCAAATCTATGATAGGTGTTTTTCTATCTTATTCAGATATGCAATATATACCCAAGGGATAAAGAAACGCAGGATAAACTTTGAAGATATTTCTAGGCAAGACGTCGAGTATAATGTTCAATATTTAAAAGTAAGAATGAAGATTAATACATACAGAACAGACTGTAAAATCAACGATTTGTATCCGGTAAGTGATTTAGGAGTGAATGGAGGGAATTGTAAGAGAACTCTGTAATCTGAAATCGAAATGGACTGTGTGAGAGCTGGCTAGTCAATACAATGTATGTCCCCCGTTCGCTCTCTCCACAGCCCTGATTCTCCTAGACATGGAGTTCATGAGTGACTTTATCCTCTTCATTTGGATTTGAACTGTTCTTCCAAGAGGGTTGCTCTCAGTTGGGCTGCAGCAACGGTGAGGCTGGCGTAGTCGAACCTGTCTATCGAGCTGGTCCCACAAGTGATCAATAGGGGATAGGTCGGGGCTGTATGGCGGTCAATCCAGTGGATGGATATTGTTGTCGGTGAGAAAGTCGCGACAGATACTCGCTGCATGGGACCGAGCATATCCTACTAGAATGTGAGGTTGTTTTCCTACAACATGGGATCGGATGATTTCATCTGTATACCTAGCGGCAGTTAAATTACCCGTTACCATAACCAGTGGTGATTTAACTCCATGTGAGATTCCTCCCCACACCATAGCCGATCCACCCTCCAACTTATCCATATCTACTACGCAACAGTCAGCAAAACATTCTCCACAACGTCGGTATACACGACGTCGACCGTCTGCTCGAAACAGGGTGAGCCGGGACTCACCAGTCAACAAAACCCGCCTTCATTGCCTCAATGGGAATATTCTGGGGGTATGTGCCGCCACCCAAGCCATACGACACAGGCGACGAGTAGTAGTGGTAAGGGACAGACCTACATACAGATGACGTGCCCGCAAATCAACTTCCCGCAATCCTTTCCTTACAGTTTCGTACGGATAGGACAGTTATGAGTACCTATGGTATTAAGGACAGATTCAGTGTCAGTAACGTGCCGATTGTGACGAATGAACCTGTCCTGACGTTTTGACATCACTCGCGCAACCCGCCCAGTTTCCCCTAGATGTCTATCAAGACATTCTATTGTGCAAATATGGACCCCGAAATGTCTGGCAACCTTGCATGATCATCGCAATGGACTGAACCCTCTGAATTTTCGACAGCTGCGCTATTGTTTAATGCATTCAGAGGTAGAGGTAGATAACGAGAGAGCGTGAGTGAGGTTGCGTTTTGGAAGTCTGGTAGATGAGAGGGCGGGGGTAGGGGTAGAAAACGAGAGAACGTGAGTGAGTTTGCGTTTTGGAGGTCTGGTAGATGAGGGGTGGGGTAGAGGTAGAAAAAGAAAGGGCGTGAATGAGAGCGCGTTTTGAGTCCTAGTAGATGAGGTGGCGGGGGTAGAGGGAGAAAACGAGAGAGCGTGAGCGAGTTTGCGTTCTGAAGGTCTGGTAGATAAGCAGGTTGGGTGAGGGGAAGAGGTAGAAAACAAGAGAGCGCTGTTGATAGCGAGTTTTGGACGCCTGATAGACAAGTTAAAACCAGCCGAGGGTTGGGGTTTTAGCTATGGCAATGTTATTGTTCGAAACTGTGAGTTGAATAAATACAGAAAAGGACCCGTATGATCATGAGGGCAATGGTGGGTCTTTCCAACTCAACCGTCGATGTTAAATCGACACACGATCACTTGACAGACAACACCTAATTTCTGAAGATATTGATGGACATGATTATTCAGATGGCAACGTCGCATCGCCTTCAAATGCTGTATGCATTCTACTCTCCCTATCTTTAGAAAGTGAAATATCGAAAATATATATCTAATTATTAATCTTTGTTTTTAATTATTTTGATTATTAATGAAAATATTTTGTTTTGTGAAAATATCTAAAGCAATTGCTCCTAATTAGCAATTTCCGACCAGCTGTGAAAATTTTGATATGTATTTTGTTTATAGTTTGATGTCAGTGAAAAGCATTTCTTGAAATAACTGTCTTATAATTTGCTACACGTATATATTAAAAGAACATGCATTTTTCCGTTTGTTAACTTACTTACACACAACGATAGTAACTTATTGTTTCGTTATCAACTACTATGAGGGAAGAATCGATTTACTGTGTCAAGTAAAGTGCTGGATTATTAGTAAGCAGTGTCTTGAATATACTAACCTTTTTGTTTTCGTTACAACTCGTTATACAAATTGTAAACTCCAGACTGTTTCTTTATATGTGTCAGGACGTAAATCCAAAACTGTTGATAATGATTAGTCTGTAGACATCATAACTTTTTTCTTGATACTTGTCAGGATGTAGACAACATAACTATTTCTTGATACTTGTCAGGATGTAGACAACATAACTATTTCTTGATACTTGTCAGGATGTAGACATCATAACTATTTCTTGATACTTGTCAGGATGTAGACAACATAACTATTTCTTGATACTTGTCAGGATGTAGACATCATACCTTTTTCTTGATACTTGTCAGGATGTAGACATAATAACTTTTTCTTGATACTTGTCAGGATGTAGACAACATAACTTTTTCTTGATACTTGTCAGGATGTAGACAACATAACTATTTCTTGATACTTGTCAGGATGTAGACAACATAACTATTTCTTGATACTTGTCAGGATGTAGACAACATCACTATTTCTTGATACTTGTCAGGATGTAGACAACATAACTATTTCTTGATACTTGTCAGGATGTAGACATCATAACTATTTCTTGATACTTGTCAGGATGTAGAGAAAATAACAATTTCTTGATACTAGTAAGTAAACATGTAAAATCCGTTTGTTACTTAAGTTTAATTTGTTCTTTTGTCACAGATAGCGGCGAAGGCAGTCTGGGGTCGGATCCGGATGTTAAATAGATTTCGTAAGTTTATGGCTAATTATAGTGATATGAAATAAAATGTATATTCAGCAATCGTTGTTGTATAGAATTGTTTGGATTTAATGTTGAGTTTTGAAACGATTTGGGATAGATTTATACTTCTAAATGCTTTAGACCTAGTTATAATATTGAGCTTACGTCAGGTCAAAGATAATAAAATGACAAATAGTTTAGGCCTCTGTTCAGAATAGTTCCATTATGTAAGACACATCACCGGGTTTTGTTTGATTTTATGTATTTTATACATCGAAACAACATATTATGGTAGTCCCTCTGAATTTATTCTTAACAGATTTCACTTTTTCAAGCTTAAGTACAATCAGCTAGAATAAATAGATTTCTTTTAATTTCAAAGCAATATATTATATACAGCATAAATAATTCAGACAAAATCACTCTTGTTTTTTTTTTTTTTTTTCGTGTGACAGACAACTAGTCATATACAATAATCATCACAAATATCTGCGTTGACGAAGTATAGCGAAACCCTCAATTCTGATGTTGCTGGAATATGTTATTAGTTGATGTTGGCTGTGTTTAGCTTAAGTGCAAGCGATGATCTGTTTTCTTGCTGTATGACTTACACAAAGGTTTAAAAAACAGAAAGAAATTTAAATCATTTGTACGTTAGTATTTGCAGCATAGTAAGATCAGCTGAGAATAGATGTGCCAACCTTGACCTTCTAAATTGTATCCTTGGTCCTGTTACAAAACATTTGGCATTTCTAAGATTTCCAATGCGGAAACCCATATGTAGGCGTTGTGCGGAACTAGTAAAAAGTTCAATGTACATTAAAAATAGCTGCGATGGTTGTGACCAGTAACAACATATAGTTACAGTTGTGATAACACACAACGCACCGAGCACGTCGTGCACGCACATGCACGATACAGTATCTTGCGCACAGCTGTGTAAAAGTGGTTGGCTAATATTACGGGTTGAAATTATGCGGAAAATTCATAAAGTTATTACGAAATAGCGATCACATAATCATTGATCGGTGATTATAAGTCACTTTTAATTCGACAGTTTTCTAAATAACTTTTGACCTACTTTCAGTGGCGAATAGTGGTGCCTCGGGCAACAAAAGTTTACCTGTTGTGGGTTCCCCTCTTTTTTTTTAGAAAACAAAAGAAAGAGTTGGTTTAGGGAGACAATAGAAAGGCAATTACAGTCCGTTTCACGCTAACGGTAAATTTCACATGAGTTCATTTACCTGAGATTATACCTGTGCTACTTATATACCTTATAACTTTACTGTAACACTAAATAGACAAAATTATGAATTTGATGTAATTTATTTCAAAATGTCACCTTACATACAGAACTTCAGCATAATTTACATTTATGTTATTAAGCACTTACACGTTACATGCATAATAGCATTTAGCAAAAATGTCACCTTATATACATACCTTCAACATAATTTGCATTTATTTATTAAGAACTTACATGTTACATACATAATATCATTTAGCAAAAATGTCACCTTATATACATACCTTCAACATAATTTACATTTATTTATTAAGAACTTACATGTTACATACATAATATCATTTAACAAAATACATATCATAAAATGTTATTCATTTTTAACTTGAACGAAATATTTCCATAACATATTTATTCATTTAGCGTGTCATGGTGACATTATCTAATGCATTGGAGATCAGAAATAGTAGTAGCTATAGTGAAAATATTGTAAATTTTGTATATATATGGAAGTCTGGTTTAATCTCAAAAAACTGTCTTTATAGACATAATAACTGGAAGAAAAGTCTAACCATGATAATCCAAGGAAGATAGGCATGTAAATACATTTAATGTAATTACTTACATTTTAATATATCTGAAATGCAGTGTACATCTTATCTACTTTCCTCAACTACAAATATAATTATAATAAGTAAGGATTATTACTTTGCAATACATTCAAAATAAAGAAGTAGGTCAAAAGTCCTTTCGATTTGTCTAAACCTCATATTGATAGGATAGTAATTGCAACATCTTGGGTATTTCAAAGGTTTTATTTAGTCAACTTCATCATAGAGCTGTTTATCATTTGGCTTGTTGGCGATAAATATATGGTTGTGTGTATTTTGTTATTTTTTTTACCTATTTTGATTTGTTCACATTATTGTCGTCAAATTTGAAATAAGAATTAAAGAAGATATAAAATCGCTTAAAATTAAGAAAAATAGCCTCTGGTTCTCTTATTTTAGTAATTTTTGCATTCCAAAGTGTAGGAGTATGGGGAAAGTAATATAGCTTTGCGGTTATTTGTGAACATTTTTCAATACGTTTAGCCTCTCAGTACTTTCAGTACTTTGATTCTATGTTGAAGCTGATGAGGATAATTCCCAGATGGTCGGCAGTGAAGCAGTTGGTCAGTTGCAGACAGTGTAGATGATTGGCTGGGGTCCGACATCCTAGAACATGATTTGATGAATTGTTCTTGAATGAGGGGAGATTGGTTTCTTGCCAAGTTTATGGTAGCAGGAAACAGTAGCAGTATCCTTACATTCCTGCTAATTTAGATCCTTTTCTTAAAGACAGTAAAGGCTAAAAAAATTTCTATGAAGCATTAATTAAGTCTAAACTGATTTCATCAGGAACCAGAAAATGGAATACATTATTTGAAGACATTGACAAACAAACATGGGAAAACTATTACAAGATGCCATTTAAAGTCACCACTAATACAAAACTTATGTGGTTCCAATACAGAGTTATTCACCACATTCTGACTACTAATGTTTTTTTGTTTAAAATCAGAACAGTTATCTCCCCTCTCTGTACATTCTGTAACTCAGAACCTGAAACTATTATCCATATAATGTTGGAATGTCAAGAAGAACAAAAACTATTGCAAAGCTTTGAATCATTGTTAAATATTCTTTATATTCCCTTTTCTTTTAACAAGAAATCTTTTCTTTTTGGAATTATTTTTGATAAATTCTTACCCAGCAACCGAGTTGATAATGAAATCATTTTATTGATAAAACAGTATGTATACAAAACAAAATGTCTTCATATCTCTTTAAGTTTAAATGCATTAATAAATATAATAAAGGACACTTATACAGTTCAAAAATACATAACAAATGGTGAAGATGATAAAGCAAAGACAAAATTTGAAAACGAATGGAGAAAATGGGATAGTCTTATCAAGTTGTAACTCATAGCATCAGTGGCAATAATCCATATTTGACAGCAGTTTATTAAAGTCACATCTGCAGCTCCTTAGCATCCAACAAATAACCCATAGTAGCCCTGCACACACACAAAAAGATGAAAATATATTTAATTAAAACAGAACTATTTTTTTTTCATTAGTTGTTGCTTGCCATCCCAACCACTAAATATCCTGTTGTTATTTATGTATATAGTCTTTTCTCTCTCTCTTTCTTTTTCTTCTTCCTTTTGAAAAAAAAATTAAAAAAAAAAAACCACAATACCTCCCCGACTCTTATTAATAAATGTGTCTGCAAGGTAGTTGCAACAGGGAGATGGAGTTAGATCGAAGTTAGTATATAGCATCTTAGTGTGCGAACTCTGGGTGACTGTTGTGTCTGTGGTGACTGTGGTTGTTGAGTTGAGAGGTCAGGGCCCTATCTCTGCCGAACATGATGCTGTTCAAATAAACCATACACGCCATCTATATATAGTCAGTCGAAAACTTCATTCCTTATTCCAGGTAGATTTTCCTTTTTTCTACTATGACTGTAAAACATTTCATACATTTACTTGCTGTCATTCCACATGGAAGACAGGCAACAAGGTGAGCACATGGCATGAAAACAAAATGTATGTTTTCCTTCAAACATATCTTGCACTTGACTTTCTCGTTAAGACGTTCATTTTCCTCCTGTAGTGCCTCTATAGCTACAAAAGAATATATAAAAGTAAAAGTACTATAAAAAGTATTGTGTTAAATAGGTTGTTCAGGATGGAACCAGTACAGTGGCTAGTAAGTACAGTTTGTGTACATAATTAACATACCATAGCTTCTTGTTTTGTTTCAACCAATCACAAATTATATTTTTATTTAAGAGAAAATGAATGGATCCATACTGGTTTCAAATTTCGAGATCATTATAATTTTTCTCTGTTTACTTGTGAATACTCTGATCCTGTACAAGTTTCCGAAAGGCATCTAAAGTATGAAATTTCTATCTAACATCTGTCCCTTTCGTATATTTGAGTGTCATCTTACATGGTACACAGTCCGGTCTTGTATCACTGCTTCTTTGCGATGATCCAAGTGCCCCGCCTTCAAAATGTACGCAATGTTGTATTACTAAATTACATTAACAGATGAATGCATATGTTTATCAATGTTAAAAGATGCAAAGGAGATACAATATTTCTTATTCAATATTTCGGTTATATTTGAAATACGTGTCAGTTTTCATTTACTTATGTGATATATATATTCTATTTGTAATAAGAATGCTAAAATCAACAATGAAGTGAGCATCCTCTTTAAAACCAGATTTTCTCAATATAAATAAAAACATTAATTGAATTAAATTTCGTCACATTGAAAAGAAAATCAACACAACATCTAGAGGAGCTTCTTTCCATAAAGGTTTTGATATAGTTTTGAGAAATTCGAAAAAGATATTCTTATTAACTTGAATTTATCCTATATCCACAATAATGTTTTTATTGCTTTCTTTAGCTTGTTTGTTTAATGGTTTAAATTGTTCCTCCTCCCTTTGCCCCTGATAATTTTCATCCTTTTATAACAATTTGAAATATCTGTAAATGTTGAACTTCGAACTTTATACAATTTGTGTATTCAAATCTATCTATGATAGGAAAGTTTTTTTTCAAACCGAATACTTACCCTTTACAGTTGTAATGTCCTTGTCTTCTACTTTACTAGTATCCATACAGACGGGTTTATCTTGATTTGCAAAACTGTTTGATTCATCTAAAACAGACACAATCAGGTATAAAGCACATTCTTCAACATGTTAATTCAACGGAAGTATTTTACAAATACAAATTGTGATTTAAAGTGATGTACATAACACAATCGCATGAATAATGCAACACATTGGACAGATTTCTTTGCTTTTGCGTTTACAATCGGCACCTACGTACATATACGTTTACTATTGCTAGCAAATTCAATGTCTACCTCCGTCAAGTGCATTAACAGGTATGAGAAAGGAAGGGGTGTATGTCTTACTGTAGGGGTGTATGTCTTACTGTAGGGGTGTATATCTTACTGTGAGGGGTGTATGTCTTAGTGTGAGAGGTGTATATCTTACTGTGAGAGGTGTATATCTTACTGTGAGAGGTGTATATCTTACTGTGAGAGGTGTATATCTTACAGTATGGGATATATATCTTACTGTGAGGGGTGAATATCTTACTGTGAGGGGTGTATATCTTACTGTGAGGGGTGTATATCTTACTGTGAGGTGTGTATATCTTACTGTGAGAGGTGTATATCTTACTGTGAGGAGTGTATATCTTACTGTGATGGGTGTATATATCTTACTGTGAGGAGTGTATATCTTACTGTGAGAGGTGTATATCTTACTGTGAGAGGTGTATATCTTACTGTGAGGGGTGTATATCTTACTGTGAGAGGTGTATATCTTACTGTGAGGGATGTATATCTTACAGTAAGAGGTGTATATCTTACAGTAAGAGGTGTATATCTTACTGTGAGGGGTGTATATCTTACTGTGAGAGGTGTATATCTTACTGTGAGGGGTGTATATCTTACTGTGAGGGGTGTATATCTTACTGTGAGGTGTGTATATCTTACTGTGAGGAGTGTATATCTTACTGTGAGGAGTGTATATCTTACTGTGAGGGGTGTATATCTTACTGTGGGGGTGAATATCTTACTGTGAGGAGTGTATATCTTACTGCGAGAGGTGTATATCTTACTGTGAGAGGTGTATATCTTACTGTAAGAGGTGTATATCTTACTGTGAGAGGTGTATATCTTACTGTGAGGAGTGTATATCTTACTGCGAGAGGTGTATATCTTACTGTGAGAGGTGTATATCTTACTGTAAGAGGTGTATATCTTACTGTGAGAGGTGTATATCTTACTGTGAGAGGTGTATATCTTACTGTGAAGGATGTATATCTTACTGTGAAGGATGTATATCTTACTGTGAGGAGTGTATATCTTACTGTGAGAGGTGTATATCTTACTGTGAGAGGTGTATATCTTACTGTAAGAGGTGTATATCTTACTGTGAGGAGTGAATATCTTACTGTGAGGAGTGTATATCTTACTGTGAGAGGTGTATATCTTACTGTGAGAGGTGTATATCTTACTGTGAGTGGTGTATATCTTACTGTGAGTGGTGTATATCTTACTGTGAGAGGTGTATATCTTACTGTGAGAGGTGTATATCTTACTGTGAGAGGTGTATATCTTACTGTGAGAGGTGTATATCTTACTGTGAGAGGTGTATATCTTACTGTGAGAGGTGTATATCTTACTGTGAGAGGTGTATATCTTACTGTGAGAGGTGTATATCTTACTGTGAGAGGTGTATATCTTACTGTGAGAGGTGTATATCTTACTGTGAGGGGTGTATATCTTACTGTGAGGGGTGTATATCTTACTGTGAGATGTGTATATCTTACTGTGAGGTGTATATCTTACTGTGTTGGGTTATATCTTAATGTGAGGGGTGTATATCTTACTGTGAGAGGTGTATATCTTACTGTGAGAGGTGTATATCTTACTGTGAGAGGTGTATATCTTAGTGTGAGAGGTGTATATCTTACTGTGAGAGGTGTATATCTTACTGTGAGAGGTGTATATCTTACTGTGAGAGGTGTATATCTTACTGTGAGAGGTGTATATCTTATTGTGAGGGGTGTATATCTTACTGTGAGAGGTGTATATCTTACTGTAAGAGGTGTATATCTGTCTGTCAGAGGTGTATATCTTCCTGTTGGGGTATAAATCTTACTTTGGGATTGTATATCTTACTGTAAGAGGTGTATATCTTACTGTATATCTTACTGTGAGAGGTGTATATCTTACTGTGAGAGGTGTATATCTTACTGTGAGAGGTGTATATCTTACTGTAAGAGGTGTATATCTTACTGTAAGAGGTGTATATCTTACTGTGAGAGGTGTATATCTTACTGTGAGAGGTGTATATCTTACTGTAAGAGGTGTATATCTTACTGTGAGAGGTGTATATCTTACTGTGAGAGGTGTATATCTTACTGTAAGAGGTGTATATCTTACTGTAAGAGGTGTATATCTTACTGTGAGAGGTGTATATCTTACTGTAAGAGGTGTATATCTTACTGTGAGGGGTGTATATCTTACTGTGAGGGGTGTATATATCTTACTGTAAGAGGTGTATATCTTACTGTGAGAGGTGTATATCTTACTGTGAGAGGTGTATATCTTACTGTGAGAGGTGTATATCTTACTGTGAGAGGTGTATATCTTACTGTGAGAGGTGTATATCTTACTGTGAGAGGTGTATATCTTACTGTGAGAGGTGTATATCTTACTGTGAGAGGTGTATATCTTACTGTGAGAGGTGTATATCTTACTGTGAGAGGTGTATATCTTACTGTGAGAGGTGTATATCTTACTGTGAGGGGTGTATATCTTACTGTGAGAGGTGTATATCTTACTGTGAGAGGTGTATATCTTACTGTGAGAGGTGTATATCTTACTGTGAGGGGTGTATATCTTACTGTGAGGAGTGTATATCTTACTGTGAGAGGTGTATATCTTACTGTGAGAGGTGTATATCTTACTGTGAGAGGTGTATATCTTACTGTGAGAGGTGTATATCTTACTGTGAGAGGTGTATATCTTACTGTGAATGGTGTATATCTTACTGTGAGGTGTATATCTTACTGTGAGGGGTGTATATCTTACTGTGAGGGGTGTATATCTTACTGTGAGGGGTGTATATCTTACTGTGAGAGGTGTATATCTTACTGTGAGAGGTGTATATCTTACTGTGAGAGGTGTATATCTTACTGTGAGGGGTGTATATCTTACTGTGAGAGGTGTATATCTTACTGTGAGGGGTGTATATCTTACTGTGAGGGGTGTATATCTTACTGTGAGAGGTGTATATCTTACTGTGAGAGGTGTATATCTTACTGTGAGGGGTGTATATCTTACTGTGAGAGGTGTATATCTTACTGTGAGAGGTGTATATCTTACTGTGAGAGGTGTATATCTTACTGTGAGAGGTGTATATCTTACTGTGAGGGGTGTATATCTTACTGTGAGGGGTGTATATCTTACTGTGAGAGGTGTATATCTTACTGTGAGAGGTGTATATCTTACTGTGAGAGGTGTATATCTTACTGTGAGAGGTGTATATCTTACTGTGAGAGGTGTATATCTTACTGTGAGGGGTGTATATCTTACTGTGAGGGGTGTATATCTTACTGTGAGGGGTGTATATCTTACTGTGAGAGGTGTATATCTTACTGTGAGGGGTGTATATCTTACTGTGGGGGGTGTATATCTTACTGTGAGAGGTGTATATCTTACTGTGAAAGGTGTTTATCTTACTGTGTATATCTTACTGTGAGGGTGTATATCTTACTGTGAGAGGTGTATATCTTACTGTGATGGGTGTATATCTTACTGTGAGGGGTGTATATCTTACTGTGAGGAGTGTATATCTTACTGTGAGAGGTGTATATCTTACTGTGAGAGGTGTATATCTTACTGTGAGAGGTGTATATCTTACTGTGAGGGGTGTATATCTTACTGTGAGGGGTGTATATCTTACTGTGAGAGGTGTATATCTTACTGTGAGAGGTGTATATCTTACTGTGAGAGGTGTATATCTTACTGTGAGAGGTGTATATCTTACTGTGAGGGGTGTATATCTTACTGTAAGAGGTGTATATCTTACTGTGAGAGGTGTATATCTTACTGTGATGGGTGTATATATCTTACTGTAAGGTGTGTATATCTTACTGTGAGGGGTGTATATCTTATTGTGAGAGGTGTATATCTTACTGTGAGAGGTGTATATCTTACTGTGAGAGGTGTATATCTTACTGTGAGAGGTGTATATCTTACTGTGAGAGGTGTATATCTTACTGTGAGAGGTGTATATCTTAGTGTGAGAGGTGTATATCTTACTGTGAGAGGTGTATATCTTATCTTACTGTGAGAGGTGTATATATACTGTGAGAGGTGTATATCTTACTGTGAGTATATCTTACTGTGTATATCTGTGAGAGGTGTATATACTGTGAGAGGTGTATATCTTACTGTGAGGTGTATATCTTACTGTGAGAGGTGTATATCTTACTGTGAGAGAGGTGTATATCTTACTGTGAGAGGTGTATATCTTAGTGTGAGAGGTGTATATCTTACTGTGAGAGGTGTATATCTTACTGTGAGAGGTGTATATCTTACTGTGAGAGGTGTATATCTTACTGTGAGAGGTGTATATCTTACTGTGAGAGGTGTATATCTTACTGTGAGAGGTGTATATCTTACTGTGAGAGGTGTATATCTTACTGTGAGAGGTGTATATCTTACTGTGAGAGGTGTATATCTTAGTGTGAGGGTGTATATCTTACTGTGAGAGGTGTATATCTTACTGTGAGGGGTGTATATCTTACTGTGAGGGGTGTATATCTTACTGTGAGGAGTGTATATCTTATTGTGAGAGGTGTATATCTTACTGTAAGAGGTGTATATCTTACTGTGAGGGGTGTATATCTTACTGTGAGGGGTGTATATCTTACTGTGAGAGGTGTATATCTTACTGTGAGGGGTGTATATCTTACTGTGAGAGGTGTATATCTTACTGTGAGAGGTGTATATCTTACTGTGAGGGGTGTATATCTTACTGTGAGGGGTGTATATCTTACTGTGAGAGGTGTATATCTTACTGTGAGAGGTGTATATCTTACTGTGAGAGGTGTATATCTTACTGTGAGAGGTGTATATCTTACTGTGAGGGATGTATATCTTACTGTGAGGGGTGTATATCTTACTGTAAGAGGTGTATATCTTACTGTGAGAGGTGTATATCTTACTGTGATGGGTGTATATATCTTACTGTAAGGTGTGTATATCTTACTGTGAGGGGTGTATATCTTACTGTGAGAGGTGTATATCTTACTGTGAGAGGTGTATATCTTACTGTGAGGGGTGTATATCTTACTGTGAGAGGTGTATATCTTACTGTGAGAGGTGTATATCTTACTGTGAGAGGTGTATATCTTACTGTGAGAGGTGTATATCTTACTGTGAGGGGTGTATATCTTACTGTAAGAGGTGTATATCTTACTGTGAGGGGTGTATATCTTACTGTGAGGAGTGTATATCTTACTGTGAGAGGTGTATATCTTACTGTGAGAGGTGTATATCTTACTGTGAGAGGTGTATATCTTACTGTGAGAGGTGTATATCTTACTGTGAGTGGTGTATATCTTACTGTGAGAGGTGTATATCTTACTGTGAGAGGTGTATATCTTACTGTGAGAGGTGTATATCTTACTGTGAGGGGTGTATATCTTACTGTGAGAGGTGTATATCTTACTGTGAGAGGTGTATATCTTACTGTAAGAGGTGTATATCTTACTGTGAGGGGTGTATATCTTACTGTGAGGGGTGTATATCTTACTGTGAGAGGTGTATATCTTACTGTGAGAGGTGTATATCTTACTGTGAGAGGTGTATATCTTACTGTGAGAGGTGTATATCTTACTGTGAGGGATGTATATCTTACTGTGAGGGGTGTATATCTTACTGTGAGAGGTGTATATCTTACTGCGAGAGGTGTATATCTTACTGTGAGGAGTGTATATCTTACTGTGAGGGGTGTATATCTTACTGTGAGGGGTGTATATCTTACTGTGGGGGGTGTATATCTGACTGTAAGAGGTGTATATCTTACTGTGAATGGTGTATATCTTACTGTGAGGGGTGTATATCTTACTGTGTGGGGTGTATATCTTACTGTGAGGAGTGTATATCTTACTGTGAGATGTGTATATCTTACTGTGAGGGGTGTATATCTTACTGTGAGGGGTGTATATCTTACTGTGAGGGGTGTATATCTTACTGTGAGAGGTGTATATCTTACTGTGTATATCTTACTGTGAGCGGTGTATATCTTACTGTGAGAGGTGTATATCTTACTGTGAGGGGTGTATATCTTACTGTGAGTGGTGTATATCTTACTGTGAGGGGTGTATATCTTACTGTGAGGGGTGTATATCTTACTGTGAGAGGTGTATATCTTACTGTGAGAGGTGTATATCTTACTGTGAGAGGTGTATATCTTACTGTGAGGGGTGTATATCTTACTGTGAGGGGTGTATATCTTACTGTGAGGAGTGTATATCTTACTGTGAGGGGTGTATATCTTACTGTGAGGGGTGTATATCTTACTGTGATGGGTGTATATATCTTACTGTAAGGTGTGTATATCTTACTGTGAGGGGTGTATATCTTACTGTGAGAGGTGTATATCTTACTGTGAGGGGTGTATATCTTACTGTGAGAGGTGTATATCTTACTGTGAGGGGTGTATATCTTACTGTGAGGGGTGTATATCTTACTGTGAGGGGTGTATATCTTACTGTGAGAGGTGTATATCTTACTGTGAGAGGTGTATATCTTAGGTGTATATCTTACTGTGAGGTGTATATCTTACTGTGAGGGGTGTATATCTTACTGTGAGGGGTGTATATCTTACTGTGAGGAGTGTATATCTTACTGTAAGAGGTGTATATCTTACTGTAAGAGGTGTATATCTTACTGTGAGGGGTGTATATCTTACTGTAAGAGGTGTATATCTTACTGTAAGAGGTGTATATCTTACTGTGAGAGGTGTATATCTTACTGTGATGGGTGTATATCTTACTGTGAGGGGTGTATATCTTACTGTGAGGGGTGTATATCTTACTGTGAGGGGTGTATATCTTACTGCGAGAGGTGTATATCTTACTGTGAGAGGTGTATATCTTACTGTGAGAGGTGTATATCTTACTGTGAGAGGTGTATATCTTACTGTGAGAGGTGTATATCTTACTGTGAGGGATGTATATCTTACTGTGAGGGGTGTATATCTTACTGTGAGAGGTGTATATCTTACTGTGAGGTGTATATCTTACTGTGAGGGGTGTATATCTTACTGTGAGGGGTGTATATCTTACTGTAAGAGGTGTATATCTTACTGTGAGGGGTGTATATCTTACTGTGAGAGGTGTATATCTTACTGTGAGGGGTGTATATCTTACTGTGAGGGGTGTATATCTTACTGTGAGAGGTGTATATCTTACTGTGAGAGGTGTATATCTTACTGTGAGGGGTGTATATCTTACTGTGAGGGGTGTATATCTTACTGTGAGGGTGTATATCTTACTGTGAGGGGTGTATATCTTACTGTGAGGGGTGTATATCTTACTGTGAGGGGTGTATATCTTACTGTGAGGGGTGTATATCTTACTGTGAGGGGTGTATATCTTACTGTGAGGGGTGTATATCTTACTGTGTGGGGTGTATATCTTACTGTGATGGGTGTCTATATCTTACTGTTAGGGGTGTATATCTTACTGTGAGGGGTGTATATCTTACTGTGAGGATTGTATATCTTATTGTGAGATGTGTATATCTTACTGTGAGGGGAGTGAGAGGGGTGTGTTTCCATTGTCTTTGCTTTCTTGGCTGCAAAATCAAAACGTTAAACGCACTTGATAGCACAATGGGAATTAAACTTGCCTTCTTTCCCTTCACTTTTAACATAATAATTTCTTTAAGAAAATGAAACAAAAAAAACTGACAACTCCAACGAAGGGAAATGTAAAACTGTTAAAAATAGCTTACCTTTTGCAGGGTGTTGACTATTTTCCCGTTTTGTCTTTTTCCCTCCTGTACGATTAGATAATGTGTCAATCTGTGCAAAGTGAATTGATAATATTTAATGTTATCACTCTTCGCCCATCTAATGAACTCCAACATTACACATTTTACATTTATTCTGAAACCTGTCAGTGATCCTAGGGTGATCAATATTCCAGTATATTGCGGCCATCTTTCCGGTTGAAGCAGAGGTTGGGACGAATTTCGGAGGATTTCTATAATTGAACACAACTTTTATGTGTTGGTACGGCCGTTTTATTAGATTAATGCACGAATTACACAAGAGTTCCAATCCTTATGAGCAACATTAACATCAATGTCTATCTTTCAAAAGTGCAACCTTGTAGCCTAGTGCTGACCCGAATCTATCGGCAACTTGACTGGCGAGTAGATTCAACATCATGAATTGTTAAAATGAATATTGGCTTAGCTATGAACATAAGCGGGACCGTGCAGACAAAACTGTGCAGTGTGTGTGTGTGGTTTTTTTTAATTTCACTTCAAATTATTTCAGAATGGGGATGTTTGTGTTATGTATATACTGGAAAGTTTATAAGTTTTAAAACTCGACTTCTTCTCGTGTTAAAAGAGAGATCCAATCTCCAGTATTTCCATAAAAACAAACATACTATCCACTAAGTATTCAACGTAGTATATATACCGCACTCCATGCATTCTGATAAAATATGAGTCAACTAATCACAAAGGAATCTAGACAATTAAAAAAAGAAAATAAACGTAGATTATTACTGAATCAAATTTTACCTTTGCAATGGATCCTTGCTGTAAATCCCTACCAATCTCTCCGTTAGTTGAACTTTGCCTGTTCTCCTTCTCTTCCATATTGAACGACCTTTCTGAAAATTAAACAATTTTTACAAGTATCAATTTATTTACATTTCAAGACAAGACGTAACTAAGATGGCAGAAAAGAGAGCAATTGTTTTGTAGGTTATTTACAGTCATATACATATACAGATATAAAGTAATGATAAAAATACTCAACAGTAACTGTCAGACGCGGTTACTATTAATTACCAAAGTGGAGTCAGTAGCATATGTTTTGGAAGATTTCTTCTTGGTTTTAGATAATCATGGTCTTTGTCCTTTCTACTGATTTCGAAAAGTTTCAAATTTGGTTCAAGAGACCGAGATGCTTTGCCGATAGCTTCAGATAGATGACCATCGTATATTGATGGTCTATGTTCTTTATACTCGAACATTAGGTCAAATTGTTACTGTTTCATTAGGTACAAAATTGAGATTTCTGTCAACTGTACCATGAAATTCATCGACCCTGTGAAAGTTGGGCTTTATCAACTACAAAATAGTGACTTTAATGATGCTGGATACATGTATTATGATATGTTTACTGGGTAATGTGAAAGCCATCCCCACCTCACCCTAACAAGAGGGTTAAGTTATTAGAATATATACATTTGGGTCAAAAGGTAAAACCCAGTGACCTTGAGCTTTGGTCAGCTGAGTTCTTATTTAATTCTGACTATGCTTCAATATGTCATGGCAAAGCATTCGAAAGTCAAACGTGATATAATTTGATGTTGACCTTTGATCCAGTGGCCTTGACCTCGAGACAGTTGACCACTTGTTTAATTCAGACCTTTGTTTCATCGTGTCATAACAAAATGTTCAAAAATGATAAGTGAAAAAAAATAGACCTTTAACCCAGCGGTAATTACCTCTTTGAACTTGACTGTTTGCTAGTGAACTCTTTGTTATATTCTGACGAAATTCGCATTAAAATGTATATCAGAAAAAAGTGCAAAATTTGACTCTGACCTTGTTGTAGGTCAGTTGTTCCCTCAAATGTTCAAAAATATAATGATGATCATCTGAATAAAGATATAAACTTTTATCCTAATTTGACCTTGAACTCTTGAATGTTTTGGCCTGATAGCTGTTTAGTTGACACTTATTCAGCTTTCACCAACTTTGCTAAGTAATGCTATAACAAAATTTTCACCTATGAAAACGATACAAAATAAAAGATTGTCATAATAAATATAATTTATTTGTGCGTGTAAAGGATTGTGGGGCGATTTGACTTGGAGACACTGTTATCGCGAAGAAGTCTTAGGGGTTCGGATGATTGGCTTGGGTAGAGGGGAGCATGTGATTGGTCTATCTCCTATTGTGTAGTTTGTATCTTGAATTTGTTGGTTTATTATATAAATTGTTAATTGTTTATTGGCGTCTGTGTTGTATTTTACATTCCAACGAAATACTGTAATATTCTCCTGAATGAAAGATCCCAAAATTCATTGTCGTTTCTAACAAAGATTTTCCTTTTGACCTTTTCATTTACTCAGTTGGTTTTTTTATTATTATTATTTATGTCAACTTTGAGTCATAATGTAAATCAAAGAATATAAAATCTAACTGAAATTAAATCATATGTTACATTTGCGTATATTGTATCATATCTACACCAAGTGTCATAGTTGTAATTAAATTTGATAAGTTGTGAGTAGCGTCCTGCAAGTGTATCATCCGGAAATCTCATACCGGCTTCCATTTCATATAGTAATATACTACTTCCGGTTCGATTTCACTTCCGTCGTGTCGCATGGTATACTTCGAAGATTTGTGTTAAAGATGTTTGATGCGTGTGCTAGCTGTTGTGTAAGATTTTGGCCTATTGATATGATTTTATACCTTTTACCACTACCTTTCTTTCTTCTTCTCTTTCCTCTCGGTCTGGGTTATATTACCTGTATGTATACTTAAGGAAGGTAAGCGGTAGCTCTAAGATCTCGTAATGGAGTGTATATCTATTCTTATCGCTAACTGTCAGGGTCTAGGGAATAATGTTAAAAGGAAGGACGTTTTATTCTTATTTATTGTTTACAAGATACGCATTTTATGAAAGAAAACCATAATTATATAAGAAATCAGTGGGGGTTTGATTGTTTTTATAGCTGTTTTAAATCCAACGCCAGGGTGGCAGCCATTTTAATTAGGCAACCGCTATTGACACGTGCGTGGCAATAACTGTACCGGCTATTACCACGTATTTTTAGAAATGACACATGCGCACATCGATGTCAAAAAAAAAAAGTGGTACAAGGTAAACTGTCATGGCTGCCGTGTATGATATACGCTACTTGTATTGGAGTTAAATAATGATGTTTCGTGATAAATTTAACTAGTTTTATGACATTTTATGTAATGCACGATGTTAATATGATGTATATGAGTCAAGTTATGTATTTATATAGTGATGACAATACTTGATTTCTGTGACAGAGGATCGTAGTTGTTGCTTGAAGCTGTTGGTTTTTCAACAATGTATAATGAACAATTTTCTCTCTAATATACTTCGACTGATGAAATATTTGTTGTAATCATTATCATAGTTAATGTGCAATGGAGGATATTTATTTATATAGCGATGACAATACTTGATTTCTGCGATAGAGGATCGTTTTTGAAGCTGTAGGTTTTGTGCCACGTAAATTACGTGTCACAGTTCAACAATGTATAATGAAAAAATTTCTCTCTAATATATAGTTGGACTGATGGAATATTTGTTGTAATCATTATCATAGTAAATATGTTCAATGGAGGATATTACTGGATTAATTTTTGTCGTGTAACTTTGACTGATTTTTTGTACAAAATTTCCCCGCTGACACAGTTCAAACTTGCTTGACTGTGACACGTAAAATCTGTCTTTTTGCATCTACAGTATATATGTAGCAATAGCAGCTAATTAATAGCTTATTACTTGTTTCAAAAACATGGATGTAGATTCTACTTATATTTTTTCACAGATTTCAGATTAATGCATTTAGTATGGTACCACTCATTGCAAATTGTACATTCTATCATATTGTCTACATCTTCATCATATGGTCATCTACAGTTACAATAAATTTGAATTTTAAATTTTCCATATTTTAAATTTCTTGTTGATTTTGACTTTGACGTATTTGGAAACATTGTGAAAGCTCCAGATTCTAAACAGTTTACAAGATGAGAACTGAGATAGGATGGTTGTGGTTGTCACAGAATTTTGTTGTAACATACTGCTGTTTCTTTGCATCAAATTTCAGTCTCAACATAACTGGACAATCTTTTGCTAAATATGATTGATTACTTCTAAATGTTTTACCACTCATTCTTGGTTGACCTTGATGTTTACAAACAACTACAAAATAATCATAAGGAAACTGCACTATCCGACCCCTTGATTTTACAACTATCCTTGACACGAACAGGATGATGATTTTTTGAACTCCACTCATCTAGAGCAAACTGAAAAGACTCAAAACTTGGAAATACTGACCCTATACCAAACTGATCTCCTCCTCCAACATGACTTCCTAACATCACATCTCATCACTTAACTTTTCATTACTTAACTCCTGTACACCTGATTTTCCACCAACTACCTTCCTATCATCAGACTTAGCACCAACTACCTTGGGACCACCAGACTTCTTACTAACTGATTTCTGACCACCTGACTTAGCACTAACTACCTTCCTATCACCCGACTTAGCACCAACTACCTTCCTATCATCAGAATCAGCACCTTCTACCTTGGGACCACCTAACTCACTAACTGACTCCTGACTACTAGAAGCCTGTACAACCTCCTGACAAACTACCTTCTGATCACCTGACTCAACAACACCTAACTGCTGCATACCTGACTCCTGTCCTGGCAAAGCTGGCCAATCCTGAGATTCAATACCGAACTCCTCAGGCTGAACTGACACCTCCACTTCAACTGGTCTAAGCAAGACATCCCTGTAATCCGTACACTCCTGATCACACACCTGGACAACTGACTCCTGCACCACTGACTCCTGCACTACTGACTCCTGACCTTCCTCCTCTACATCCCATATAGAACTGAACCTACCAGACATCCGAACACCTCTAATGCAACCTAACAGAGACCTAACAACACTCATAGTACCTGAAAAACTCAGATGCAGTCCATCTCTACTCAACAAAGACCTATTCAGAACACCTTTCTCCATAAACTCCCTATGTCCTACAAACTCCAACAATGCATACCTACTACTTATATACGCCAGAGCCCTATTGACTTCCTTAGCCATCCTATTTATCCTATCAATGTAATCCTGCCTGACCAACTTATCTCCAAACCTATTGTCACCACGTGGAAGGATAGCAGACAACACCACAACAACCTCCGGATTAACATGCCATATCCTTTCAACCAAATCCTGATATTTTCCTAACATACACTCCACTGAATCACCATGAATTAAATTGTTTGCACCACTGTGCACAACCACAATATCATAACTACAAACCACATCCCTAATATTCCTCCAGACATTTTCTATCCTACCACCACTCTGAGACACAACACTAACATCCTCCTCCCTATCCAAATACTGCGAAAAATACTTAGCCTGAGAATGACCAGCAATCAACACAGACATGATGAAATGAGAAACTAGACAAATACAATAATAATACAAAGACAATAATATGACAATTAAAATGCAATAAAGTCACTGAAAAAAATGTGATGTTAAATTATCACAAAATATATACAGCACTATATATATACACACAATATATATCTGAAAAAAGAATGAATATAAGAATTTTGCACTATAATAAATAAGCACTAAATATATACCACTTGCTTGTCTTTTGAGTGACTGACTGTAAAATACTGGTATTTATACACAGAAATTCAACAGTAATGTTGTTACATGCAAAGCGAGTAATAATTCACTCATTTAATCTTTATTTCATATAAAAGCAGAATAAACATATTAATTAACAGTGAAACAAAAGAAATCAGTGTTATCCACTCATCATACATCATTACCAGGCCTAGGCTATACAACACACCAAGCTAACCACTGTCTGTATACTATAGCTACAGTGGGCTGCTGGTTAACACCTGTTCAGACTACATGTCTTATGAACGGTGTTCATTCACCCCAAGCTCACAAAGATATACCATTGTCATGATTTCAGTGTTTATACCATTCATGTAATTATTTTGTGCAGATAAGAATTAGTAACCGTTAGAGTGATAAAGTAGATTTCTCAGAATATGTTAGACTAGTAAGTGACCAAATCAGCTGTTATGGCTTCCTATCAAGCTTTGACACGTAAATTGAGCGCTTGTTCTAATGTTATGAACGCAAAGAACTATAAACAGAATGGTCAAGTTTTGTGTTATATAATAGTAAAATTACATCAAATTCACCACTTTGATTGCAGAATTTCGATTTTATGGTCAAAAGTGGCGTACGAAACTAAACCAAGACCACTCTACTTGGACGCCATATTGTAAACAACAAGAAAAGTGTCACGCTGAAAGAGTGTAACTTTCGGCGTTTATATGGGCATATTAAATTACATTTGATCACAGTTTTCGACCAAAATATTTGAACCATTACTTAAATGAATATGTATATGCAATATTATTGATAAATAATACATATTAATGAAAATCAAATACGTGGCACAAAAGCAGTGGTTATTGACACATACGTGGCAATAACCACTCCGTTTTAATTAATAACAATTTTGAAAAGAGAAAAGAAAGATGATTCAGGAAATTTCTTGGCTCTAGATATTAAAGTAGAAGGTCACAATATTACTTTGGTCACACTCTATGGTCCAAACATTGATTCTCCTAGTTTTTTAAATTTATTAACTGATGCAGTGGATTATTTTGGGAATGATAAATACATAATCTGTGGAGACTTCAACTAAGTAGTAGATCCAGATTTAGACTATGATAGTATTTACAAAAATGTAAATAACCTGAAAGCCAGAGATAAAGTTTTGGAAATTATTGATAGTTAGTCACTAGTAGATGTATTTCGGGAACTACATCCATACAGTAGAATGGTATACCTGGAGGAAGAAAAACCCATTAAAACAGGCTCGATTGGATTTATTTCTTGATGATGATGATGACAATGAAGATTGTGTTGTTTTTTAGGAGAACTATGTACATTATCGGATGATGATGATGATGGACAGGTGGATGTTAGTGTTTTTGTTGATATTTGTATACTTCAATGTTAAAACTGACAAAAATGTAAATGAAAAAAAAAAAAGTAACGATTGTATCAAACAAACGGAGGAAGAAAAAAAATCAAACTTTTACCTTCGACATTTGCCCTTGCTTTTTTTAGGTCATCTGGACCCGAAGGGTCCGATGACCTATAGTCATCATGCTTCGTCCGTCGTTGTCCGCCGTGCGCCGTCCGTAAACTTTTCATTCAAACGACTTCTTCTCAAATACTAGAAGGTCTAGGGGGCTAATACTTGGCACAGAGGATACTGGCATGGAGCTCTACCAAGTTTGTTCAAATGAATGACCTTGACCCACTTTAAAGGTCACAGGGGTCAAATATGTTAAAATCTTTAAACAACTTCTTCTCATTAACCAAAAGGCTCAGAGTGTAGATATTGGGCCTGTGACATGCTGGGATGAAGGACTACCAAGTTTGTTCAAATGAATGACCTTGACCCACTTTAAAGGTCACAGGGGTCAAATATGTTAAAATCTTTAAACAACTTCTTCTAAATAAGCAAAAGTCTATGAGTGCCGATATTTTGTCTGTAACATGCTGGGAGGAAAGGCTACCAAGTTTATTCAAATGAATAACCTCAACCCACTTTCAAGGTCACAGGGGTCAAATATGTTAAAATCTTTAAACAACTTCTTCTCATTAACCAAAAGGCTCAGAGTGTAGATATTGGGCCTGTGACATGCTGGGATGAAGGACTACCAAGTTTGTTCAAATGAATGACCTTGAACCACTTTAAAGGTCACAGGGGTCAAATATGTTAAAATCTTTAAACAACTTCTTCTCAATAACCAAAAGGCTCAGATTGCTGATATTGTGCCTGTGGCATGCTGGGATGAAGGGCTATCAAGTTTGTTCAAATGAATGACCTTGAACCACTTTAAAGGTCACAGGGGTCAAATATGTTAAAATCTTTAAACAACTTCTTCTCAATAACCAAAAGGCTCAGATTGCTGATATTGTGCCTGTGGCATGCTGGGATGAAGGGCTATCAAGTTTGTTTAAATGAATGACCTTGAACAACTTTCAAGGTCACAGGGGTCAAATATGTCAAAATCTTTAAATAACTTCTTCTCAAATACTAGAAGGCCTAGGGGACTAATACTTGGCCCATAGCATGCTGGCATGGAGCCCTACAAAGTTTCTTCAAATGAATGACCTTGGCCCACTTTCAAGGTCACAGGGGTCAAATATGTTAAAATATACAAAGGACTTCATCTCAATAAGCAAAAGTCTATGAGTGCCGATATTGGGTCTGTAGCATGCTGGGAGGAAAGGCTACCAAGTTTATTTAAATGAATGACCTTGAACAACTTTCAAGGTCGCAGGGGTCAAATATGTCAAAATCTTTAAATAACTTCTTCTCAAATACTAGAAGGCCTAGGGGGCTAATACTTGGCCCATAGCATGCTGGCATGGAGCCCTACAAAGTTTGTTCAAATGAATGACCTTGGCCCACTTTCAAGGTCACAGGGGTCAAATATGTTAAAATATACAAAGGACTTCATCTCAATAAGCAAAAGTCTATGAGTGCCGATATTGGGTCTGTAGCATGCTGGGAGGAAAGGCTACCAAGTTTATTCAAATGAATAACCTCAACCCACTTTCAAGGTCACAGGGGTCAAATATGTTAAAATCTTTAAACAACTTCTTCTCATTAACCAAAAGGCTCAGAGTGTAGATATTGGGCCTGTGACATGCTGGGATGAAGGACTACCAAGTTTGTTCAAATGAATGACCTTGAACCACTTTAAAGGTCACAGGGGTCAAATATGTTAAAATCTTTAAACAACTTCTTCTCAATAACCAAAAGGCTCAGATTGCTGATATTGTGCCTGTGGCATGCTGGGATGAAGGGCTATCAAGTTTGTTCAAATGAATGACCTTGAACCACTTTAAAGGTCACAGGGGTCAAATATGTTAAAATCTTTAAACAACTTCTTCTCAATAACCAAAAGGCACAGATTGCTGATATTGTGCCTGTGGCATGCTGGGATGAAGGGCTATCAAGTTTGTTTAAATGAATGACCTTGAACAACTTTCAAGGTCACAGGGGTCAAATATGTCAAAATCTTTAAATAACTTCTTCTCAAATACTAGAAGGCCTAGGGGGCTAATACTTGGCCCATAGCATGCTGGCATGGAGCCCTACAAAGTTTGTTCAAATGAATGACCTTGGCCCACTTTCAAGGTCACAGGGGTCAAATATGTTAAAATATACAAAGGACTTCATCTCAATAAGCAAAAGTCTATGAGTGCCGATATTGGGTCTGTAGCATGCTGGGAGGAAAGGCTACCAAGTTTATTTAAATGAATGACCTTGAACAACTTTCAAGGTCGCAGGGGTCAAATATGTCAAAATCTTTAAATAACTTCTTCTCAAATACTAGAAGGTCTAGGGGGCTAATACTTGGCCCATAGCATGCTGGCATGGAGCCCTACAAAGTTTGTTCAAATGAATGACCTTGGCCCACTTTCAAGGTCACAGGGGTCAAATATGTTAAAATATACAAAGGACTTCATCTCAATAAGCAAAAGTCTATGAGTGCCGATATTGGGTCTGTAGCATGCTGGGAGGAAAGGCTACCAAGTTTATTCAAATGAATAACCTCAACCCACTTTCAAGGTCACAGGGGTCAAATATGTTAAAATCTTTAAACAACTTCTTCTCATTAACCAAAAGGCTCAGAGTGTAGATATTGGGCCTGTGACATGCTGGGATGAAGGACTACCAAGTTTGTTCAAATGAATGACCTTGACCCACTTTAAAGGTCACAGGGGTCAAATATGTCAAAATCTTTAAATAACTTCTTCTCAAATACTAGAAGGCCTAGGGGGCTAATACTTGGCCCATAGCATGCTGGCATGGAGCCCTACAAAGTTTGTTCAAATGAATGACCTTGGCCCACTTTCAAGGTCACAGGGGTCAAATATGTTAAAATATACAAAGGACTTCATCTCAATAAGCAAAAGTCTATGAGTGCCGATATTGGGTCTGTAGCATGCTGGGAGGAAAGGCTACCAAGTTTATTTAAATGAATGACCTTGAACAACTTTCAAGGTCGCAGGGGTCAAATATGTCAAAATCTTTAAATAACTTCTTCTCAAATACTAGAAGGCCTAGGGGGCTAATACTTGGCCCATAGCATGCTGGCATGGAGCCCTACAAAGTTTGTTCAAATGAATGACCTTGGCCCACTTTCAAGGTCACAGGGGTCAAATATGTTAAAATATACAAAGGACTTCATCTCAATAAGCAAAAGTCTATGAGTGCCGATATTGGGTCTGTAGCATGCTGGGAGGAAAGGCTACCAAGTTTATTCAAATGAATAACCTCAACCCACTTTCAAGGTCACGGGGGTCAAATATGTTAAAAT